GTTAATACACTACACAAACAAGTCCCGATAAGTACGCGGAGTACGGCCGACAAACATCTTGATTATCGAGGGTCGTTTCGTAGGGATTGGTGGGTTGTTATATGCGCGAGGGGTACTTGTTCCCCGAGGTCAACTTCGATGGTGCACGGGGGCCGTCGTATTGAGTGTCGGCAGCTCGCATGACTGATGCGGCCTTGCAAGCAGACGAAAAAATTAGATGAGGACCTTTGGTGTATCTGTAGTCTGGTCTATTTATGTATGTAACAGGACAATAGAGGGACGACGGCGGTCAGTGTACCACGCATTCCTTCCTGGTAGGAGGGCAATGAGCCAGTCGTTCACGGGGACCGCGGTTGAAGTCCTCGTGGTATTCGTGGGGTAGAAAACGCGAGAGATGGCGCAGAGGCAGGTACTGCTGCTGTAGGTCCGACGATACAAGAGCGATCGTCGGCGGCAAGTATTATTATTGTACTATGCGAGCGGTGTGGTGCCATCTTGTGCGCGTTTCGCGTTGGAACTGGTGCCTGTGTTGGGGTGTTGGGGTAATTGCAGTACAAGAACGACTCTATACTACTGCATGGGTTTATGCAGTATTGTGAAGGCGTTGCCAAGTCTGTAACCGTCAGGTGAAGACAGCTTGGGCGTCTTTGTGGATAATAATATCACTCTGTGTGTTTGCCTACCTAACCTCGGATCACATGCTACTTTGTAGCCACAGCTGAAGGAACAGCTGTACAGCGACTGCAGTGACAGTGCTGTTGCCTCAACAGGTTTTGAGCTTCGAGTTGCTCGAGCTTGTACACCAGAGTCACCAGAGTCGGTAAGCATGGATGGCTACCGGCTCGTCAGGCGAGATCCGAAGGGGATTCGCCAAGTTCAGTGGTGACCTAGGCGACTACGTCGGCTGGCGAACCCTGCAGACCTCCTTGTTTATGGAGGACAAGCTGCACAAGGTTATGTTGGGAGTGGAGAAAGCCCCTTCGGATCCCGGACCTAGTGCTACGCCGGACCAGATTTCGGCATACCAATCGGCCCTGAAAGGATACCAGGACACAAACGGACAGATCTTTACACGGCTGATGCTCGCCACATCTGAAACCGGGGGCTACCAGAGCGCGGCCTCGCAGACTGTGCAGGCATACGCGCCTATCGGGTCTTCCCCTACAACGGAGACGGTCGTGGAGCCTTCCTCGCCCTGGAACGAAAGTACCAGGCCGCTGGGGTATACCGTACGCAGGAGCTGCACGAGAAAAAGTTCATATCTTTGGCAGCTACCGCGGACCACGACTTTGACCCGGCCAATGATATTCAAGACATGCGCCGGATCTGCACGGAGCTCGCCGTGTATAACGACACTGTGGCTGACCACCGAAAGACGTTCCTAAAAGCACTGCCGGGCGACCACTACAAAGATTTCAAGACAGGACTACTTTGCGGCCAAGCTGCTGGGAGCGTCTTGTCCTTCGAGGAGGTCGCCGACCGAGCCACTTCGTTCCACGCGATGCATATTCGTTGTAAAATTGCGTCGAAGAACGCGTCCGGAAGCAGCAGCCGTGCGCTGAATNCTAAAAGCACTGCCGGGCGACCACTACAAAGATTTCAAGACAGGACTACTTTGCGGCCAAGCTGCTGGGAGCGTCTTGTCCTTCGAGGAGGTCGCCGACCGAGCCACTTCGTTCCACGCGATGCACATTCGTGGTAAAATTGCGTCGAAGAACNGTGAGGGCGGCGGTCATCATGGTCGTGGACGCGCGCAGCGCGGTGGACGAGGACGTGGCAGCTGGAACAACTCGTCGAACCGTAACAACGGGTCCACGAGGGGAACAACAGCAACGACCAGAACCATGGCGGCGCGACTTCTGGCGACGGAGCTGGTGCGTCTTCCGACGACCGGTCCTCTGGACGGCCGAACCACACGTAGCATAAATGCGGGTACGACAGGGACGGCCTATGCAGTTCCTGTCACAATTCTACCGAACACACCTGGACGAACTGCCCGCTTCGCGCCTTCAATGCCACGCGGTTTCCGAACCGTGAACAACAGCAACCGCCCGCAGCAGCAGGTCAACACGACCGCGGAAGCCACGACACAGGCGTGACTCACGCACGCACGCGAGATAGACCTCACGCTGAAATCATTCGACATCGCCACAGGCGATCCCGAGCAGGTGCCGTTTGCGCCTGCTGCATCGACCCCTGAGGAGGCGTCCGATGCAAATGTCGGGCAGGTGCTGGGTGCGCCTGCCACAGCTTCGCTACAACTGTTGGAGCGTGCTGTCCCATTGCAGGTGCCGATTGCGCCTGCCACAGCAGAGGAAACCGAGGAGCCTGCTGCCTCCTACGAGAAGGAAAAGGANCGACGTCCGCATCAAGGGTTCGTGCGGCACATCCAGCGCCACCAAGAAAGGTACGCTGAAGTTCAAACTCAAGAATGACAAAGGTCAACCCGTCCGGATAGAGTTGGAGGTTCTGCTTGTGCGGGACCTTGGGGCACACATATTTTCTGTCGGAGCGTTGGATGAGAAGGGGGTGAAGACGGATCTACTTTTGGCACCTTCGGCCCTGCGAAGCCGGAACTTGTCTTTCCCCATATTAATAGCAGAGGTGCCTCGAATGCACGTCGTGAATCTCATACGACCTGAATCTCGACCTGCCTAGTTCTCCGCTAGTTTTCCGTGCCGATNGTCCGGATAGAGTTGGAGGTTCTGCTTGTGCGGGACCTTGGGGCACACATATTTTCTGTCGGAGCGTTGGATGAGAAGGGGGTGAAGACGGATCTACTTTTGGCACCTTCGGCCCTGCGAAGCCGGAACTTGTCTTTCCCCATATTAATAGCAGAGGTGCCTCGAATGCACGTCGTGAATCTCATACGACCTGAATCTCGACCTGCCTAGTTCTCCGCTAGTTTTCCGTGCCGATACCGATGCCGGTGTTTGGCACCGAAGGATGGGACATTGCAATGCGCGCTCCCTGAAGCAGCTCTCGGATAAGGAAGGCACCGGCATCAAGTTCACCACCAACATTCGACCAGGTGACTGCGAAGTATGCGATGTATCTAGAAGCAAGAAGGCGAGTCACCACCCAGTTGGCCGCGCCCGTTCACCGACGCGAATGATGCTTTTGCATCTGGACCTGTGGGGGAAACATACTGTGCCATCGTACAGCGGATGTCAGCACATCGCAATGTTCACCGACGACAAGTCTCGCATGCGGTGGGGCATCCCCCTGAAGACAAAGGATGAAGTGACTGACGCGCTCGAAACCCTGATTAAAGAAGTCGCCGACCCCGAGGGCATCTACATCGGGATAATCAAGTGCGATGGCGCAGCCGACTTCAAGGGTAGGTACTTAGCAATGTGTCCGTCCTTCGGGATTGCTTTGGAGACAAGCCCCCCGTACGTCCCTCGAGGGAATGCTGTCGCCGAACGCGGTTTCGGGACTGTCATCGGTGCAGCACGTAGCCTCATGCTTGGAGCTCCGCACCTGCCGCGTCAACTGTGGGCGGAAGCCGTCAAGGCCGCCATTTACATCAAGAACCGCACACCTACTGACGTCCGGGACGGCAAAGCACCACTTGAGGTTTGGGAGGACAAACCACTCGGCAGCTTGAAGCACATGCATGAGTAGGGGTCTGTAGCATTTAAACACGTAGTGGCTCGCTCGCGAAACGGTAAGTTTTCTGCCAGGGCGAAGAAGTAGGACATGCTGGGATACAATACAACCAGCAAGTCGTGGCGGCTATGGGACCCGGCGGAACCACTCAAAATTACAAACTCTGCTGAAGTGTCATTCCGCGAGGTAGATGCCCGCGACGTCGCTCGCCCCGTGCACGGGTCTGGCCCATGTCCCGAACAAGGCCAGATTTTCCAGCCCGGCATTATCACTGGGGCCGAGACAAGAGACGAGGAACCAGAACCGGCAGAACCGAACGACGGACCGGACGAAGAACCGCCCGTGGTGCGCAAAAGCGGTCGAACGACAAAGCCGCGGGACCGTCTGAACCTGTTTACGACGGAGCAGGTGTTCGAAACAGAATACGCACTGGTGATCGGAGGTGAGATCGGGAACCTTGGTCAAGGGATACCTGGCCAACTAGGATACATGCCCGCCGATCCACCGAACTACCGCGCAGCGGTCAACGGACCAGATGCCGTTGGATGGATGAAAAGCATTGAGGAGGAGTATCGCTCCTTACTAGACCACGACGTTTATGAGTGGGTCGATTCCCCGTGAGATGCTCAAATCATCCCGTCAAAATACATCTACAAATGGAAGTACAACGAGGCCGGCATCGCTGTGCGACATAAATCGAGAATCGTAGTGCAAGGATTTCACGAAGCTGAGACCGGAACCGACAATGCTGCACCGGTAGCGTCTCTCCAAGCCGTCCATCTGATAGTTGCGCATGCTGCCAAGAATGGACTTGTTCTTCGCCAAGCCGACATCAGGACGGCGTTCCTCCACGCGAGGATGGAACCGGGATCGAAACCAGTGTACGTCATTCCCCCGGAAGGATTCTCGTGCGACAGCGAGAGAGCCAGGCATCTGGAAGCTCAGAGCGTGGCTTTACGGGTTGCGTTTTTTCCCAAAAGGCTGGTGGGGCACTCTGCACGATTTTCTCCTGAAGATCGGATTTGTTGAGAGCACCGCTGAACAGGGCATGTACATCCTGGACGACGGAGATGTGCTCCTTCTCGTTTATGTGGATGACATTCTGCTGACCGGGGAGGACGAGAACAAAGTGCTGAGCATAGTAGATTAGCTGAATGGGCGTTTCGAAACGATGGACCTGGGAGGAGCCAGGTTCCTGCTCGGTATGGAAATCAACCGAGACAGAGCCGCAGGGACAATTCTTTTTGAACAGGAAGCGTATACCAACGCAGTGTTGGACAAGTTCGGCATGGCCGACGCGCGTCCGACGACATCTCCGTCTGAGGTTGGACTGGTGTCCGTCGTGGAGGACGAGGTGATGTCAGCGGAAGATACCACATATTTCCGCTCCGCCACAGGCTCGCTTTTATATCTCAGCAGAAACTCAAACGTGTACTCAGGTACCTGAAAGGGACGATATCAATCGGTGTACGCTACGGCGAGGATGCCGAACATGGAAACGTCATTACGGCATTTGTCGACTCAGATTTTGCAGGCGACCTAGACAACGGCTACCCCACCACGGGAGTCGTCCTGTACTTCGCTGGTGGACCGGTGTAATGGACATCATCCAAGCAAACGGTGGTGGCGACCTCTTCCGTTGAAGCAGAGTTCGTGGCTTTGTCGAAGGGGTACAACATCATCAAGTACTTCCGCCACCTGCTGGACACCATAAATCAGATTCAGGAAGAAGCAACCGTGGTGTGGGAGGACAACTCGAGAGCTCTAAAATTAACTCGCAGCTTCCGTATCACCCCAAGGACTACGCACATTGACGTAAAGTTTCACCACGTAAGGTCTCTGGTAGCTGATGAAGTCGTAGACGTGAAGCAAATATCGACGTCGCTTCAGAAAGCGGATACTTTACGAAAGGGCTAAACCCGTCGGAGTTTCTCCGCGCCGTGGCATGCTGTTAGGAGTTTGATCACCTCCCCTCTTCGTAATCAGACTTTATGTCTTGAGGGTTGGATGGTGTATGTGTGTGTATATGTTTAAAGAATATTCGGGAAGTTTGTGTTGAAGGAAAACATTCACTGCTGATGCAACGCAGCTGAGAAAGGCAGAACAATTGATAATGAGTCAGGAGATAACATTGTTTCGAGAGGACATGGATATTGTTTCGAGAGGACAGTGAGAGAGAATTGGATTTGATGCATTGGTACTAGAATGAGGTAGTTCTTGTGAGGACATGTTGGAGTAATTGCAGTGCAAGAACGGCTCTACTCTACTGCATGGGTTTATGCAGTATTGTGAAGGCGTTGCCAAGTCTGTAACCGTCAGGTAAAGACAGCTTGGACGTCTGTGTGGATAAAAATATCACTCTGTGTGTTTGCCTACCTAACCTCGCATCACATGCTAGCTANTTGATGCATTGGTACTAGAATGAGGTAGTTCTTGTGAGGACATGTTGGAGTAATTGCAGTGCAAGAACGGCTCTACTCTACTGCATGGGTTTATGCAGTATTGTGAAGGCGTTGCCAAGTCTGTAACCGTCAGGTAAAGACAGCTTGGACGTCTGTGTGGATAAAAATATCACTCTGTGTGTTTGCCTACCTAACCTCGCATCACATGCTAGCTACTTTGTAGCCATAGCTGAAGGAGTAGCTGTACAGCGACTGCAGCCGCGCCTGCGAAATGAAGCATGGGCGTCGCAGCACCTCTGACCAAAAACTCTTCTGAGCCGTACAAATGTACTTCCATCCGTGGATGGATGAGCTTGAGCCCGGTTATCAGAGGGGACACTGGACCCACGCATCTAAAATACAAATATACGGTAGCGGAGCCAAGAAGGCGGACACTCAGTCTCAGCAATAAACCGAATGAAGCAAGATTCTTTTCTACCGTGCGTAGTACGTAATTCCCAAGAGCAAAAAGAGCGACATGTTTCATTGTACCACCGCCGACTATGAGGATTCGCCTTCGCCAACATCGCGCTCTATTCCAGGATACGGACGGTTACATGAAGATACACTATTTTCTAAAGAAACGGTCGGATCCAGTCGTATATCCTGGATGGCTCATGGCTCTGGTACATAAACAGCTTAGTCACCCTTCCCCACATTATGCTCTGAGCCATCCTCAGTCCAGCCCATGAGACCCCGGTCATGGAACATTCCTCCGGCGGGACTGCACAATCCAGGAGACCAGGCAGTAGAGCGGTACCATGGAGAGACGCACGGACTGCTGTACATGCCCAAAGACGATGCAACGGGTGCACTTGCATCGAGACCAACCCCGTTGCTGAGCCCAAACTCTGTCTCTGTGTACCGACTTTTCGCTGCAGGGACAGGGCTCCGTGGTTCTCTCCGGGACAGACCATCGTACAATCGCCCTCTGCCCCCAGCCCCGCCCACCCGCAAGGCTTTCTGCGAGACCGATCGCTTCATTCTTTCCCTCGCCTCGCCCGTCGAGCCTCGTCGCCTCATGCTTTGTTCGCTTCCCTGGGTGACCCCTGAGGGTGGCTGCCCCTCAACCGTACAAGCGCCGCCGGTAACATGCCTTCCTGCAGTAGGGGGCCCCGCAATGTCGAATACATAATTCTCTTCAATGTCGCACGTCGCACTTTCTCTTTCGCCCCCTTCGCCCGCGGTGCCCCTTCCACCGCTATGTCGCGTGTCCTCTCGTCCAGGTGATCGCGCGTTCATGTTCGCCGCTTCCGGAGTGAAGGCGGAAAGCAGCCCTGTCGGCGCCCGCACCCCCTCTGCGAGCCTCGCTATTCTGTTTTGGGCCCGACCTACGGGAGAGTAGATCCAACGGGCGTCTTGGTCCGGCGGTGGTACCGTTGGCTTTAAGCATGGTTCGCGGGCATATTCGTTGACCTGCGGCGAAGAAAGGTAAAATCGAATCGAGTGAAGGACTACTGAGCGCTTAAGGGACAGCGAGAGGGGCTTCGGGGGGATACCATCTATAGGGAGGAGCTCGTGCCAGCATAGTTCGTATTTGTTTTTTGACGTCAAATGAAGTACGCGCTGCCTCGGAACACGTAGCCTTCCATGAGTCAACAGCGCTAGGAACTGTGCTTGATGGACGACAAGTCGCTCACAAGGACGGGGCGGACAAAGAGTCACAGGAGGTACGAGAATGGTTGGAAACTCGCCTGCTGGCTCCGTCCCAACGCTGGAGAGCTTCGGGCGCGCTTCATGGACTCGATCCTGTTCGCCCCTTCCCCCTTCCGCAACACGTGCCTCTTGTCTCGCACCCTGGCGATGGCTCGTTCTTCGTTCTCCTGGATGATTCGAAGCTGATCCGCGATGCAGGATTTCAGCGCCTCCATCTGCGTGAGAAGTGGGCGCGTTGAGGGAGCCTCTCAAGACCCCAATTCCTTGAGCACATCGGGTACGGTCGGTGTTGCCTTTGCGTCTACAGTATTCATCCTTGACGATCAGGCGAAGCCATTTTCACAAGGGCTGAGCTCTTGCCACGCGACACAACGGCGACAAAACTGTGGCCGTTCTTGGCCAGCCATTGCTGGTCTCGAGAGAAGATAAAACGTACCTTGACCCGTCGTTCGGTGGCTCGATTTATGGCCCCTGCTCGAACCACCTCCGACCTCCTGGTCTCCGCTGCCCGCTGGCTCTCCACACGGGTATGGTCCACACAGTGCCTTTTCGCGGCGCAGGAAAAAAGATGCGTTCGCACATGTCATTAAGCGTGGATGGGCTTGCAGTCATATGTGTATGTGGTATTATTCTTGGAGTGCATTGTCGGCGATCAGACAAGAAAACGAAGCAACTGCCCATATTCTAAACAGATGAACGCCGGCCTCCACTCGTACAGGTCAAAGACGCCGCCTGCGTCCGGCGCGCTATAGATATCTTGAACAAATAGCGAACGACGTGCCGCATCCCTCTGATGAACCCATCTACAAGCAGTAAGTAGCCTTGCCTTGCTCTTTCCTTGTGCTTTGCCTCGGCAATGCTGGCTTGTCGACATATGACCCCCGTGTTTCTTGCAAGCCTCGCCATCATCCCGGCCTCCGCTTCTCTCCTTCGACCAAACTCGGTGCGGCGGGATCGGAGCTGTACCGCCGCTTGCCGAGGTTGAACCAATCTAGGGTTCGCCGTATCAGAGACCTATCTTGTCGAGTCGTGGATATGACAAAACGACTATAGGTATTTATGCATGAACACGCTGTTTGGACGGTCATTTGTACTGAAACCAGAAAGAAGGCGAATCTTACATCTTACAGCGGCGTCATCAGCCCACGCATGCGAATGTTCTAACGGCCACTTTATCGACAACCACGCATAAAGTTGTAGCGTTGTCAAACCGCCAAGCTCTTTCGGCCAGACAACGCGGTAGTCAGAATAGACCTCCTCCAGCAAAAACAAAAAAACTGATTGGTAGAAGCAACCTTCTTCCAGAGCACCTGAGCACCTGTTCTTTCTGGAGGGGTATTTTATATAGTCGCTCGTGGGTGCTCAGCGTCCATAGAGACGAGCTCCCGCCTTCTTCGCTGCCGGGGTTTTTGCGGTCGCGCCGGCCTTGCGCTTTGATGTGATCCACTAAAATTGACGGGTCCAACGGCGGCATCACCTGTGTAACGTTTGCCAAATGCTCAGGAAATGTAACGAAGGGGCTCTAAGAAGCGTTCGGTGAACCAACAAGCGACGCCTAACGTTTGGTAGTAGAAGGTGTTATCTGGCAACATGGGCCGAGAAAAACGTTGGGGCAGTCGATTGCTATTCTACGCGATTGATGTTGTCGATTTCGGTTGGATGTTGGCATACAAATCCAACCAGGCTTCCAGAGCCTTCGGAGACGCTACTTGCTCAGTGGTTCAGGGCGGTTCTTGTCGACATGAGCGAAGCAAGACTTTGGGCAAGCGTCCTGCAAGTAGTGCATACAACGACCAAGCACACCCCACCACTCGTTCCGGCAACTCCTACGTGGCGCGCCCAGCTCAGTGGCGCGGCCCCACCTGCGGTCGCTCCCTCGTGATTGCTTCGTAGTCCAGCGAAACGGCCGCGTGCCGCTTCCTGCGAAGCACGCCGTAGCTGTCCACGCCGGGGCTCCTCGGCAGGCAGTCCCCCAACCTCCCGCCCGCCGCGTGAGTATCCCCGTCGTCCTCCAAGCCGGCACGACGCCGGGGGCGAGCGGGGGAACGGCATGCGGGCGTTCTGTCAACCGCTGCTTCCCAGGGGTCGTGATTGGTGAATGAGGGGCAGCTAGCGGACAACGCCAAGCCTCCGCTGCCGCCGCTGTTCCCGATGCGCTTTGTGTCCATCGGCGTCGTCACGGCGGTGTTGCGCTCGGTCGAGGTGGTAGGGTTGATGCCGTGCCGACGAAAGGCGGGGCACAGTTCGGAAAGGGCCTGGCGGTATTCCGTCCACGACAGCGCTTCGAGGCTGTCTGACTGCGGTCGCCCCTTCGTTGAGGTGAGGGTTTCGGGTGGCGAAGGAGACGCTGCATGAGACAGGGGTGTCCACGCGCGTCTTGTGCATCGAGCCACGAAGTTACAGCCTTGTTAGCCTGTTTCTAGGACTAGGAAGAGACGTGCTGGCCGACATGGCGTATCGTTGCTCAAGCCTACCGTAAAACTGAGAGTCTTCGACATTTCGAGCATCAGGCGACAAGAAGAGGAAGAAAATCACCTGCTGCTCGAAGCCGTTCGCTTTCATCCATACCCTAATCGTCGCATCGTCCAAACCGGGGTCGAGGGCTTTGGCGGCTTCCGGGAGCTTCGACGAGTTGATAAAGAAGCTGTCCGGGTGCGTGAGAGGTGCTTGCCCTAGGCTGTGTCAAGGGGGTTCGAACGAATGCGAGTTCTAGTCTACACCTGGTAGGGCGGTCGGTCGGACGTCGCTTTGGTGAAGCTCAGAGACAGATTTTCTCGATACCAAAACGTTTCTGCTTGCAGCCACAAGCAACGATCAAATGGGCCAACTTTTTGCGCCCCCAAATGAGGCCTCCTAGCTGGCTCTTAGACGCGAATCTCGCTGTCTCCTATTTCCACCGAGAAGAGATACTCTCTACATAATAATGTCTTCGGTGAGGTTGCCATCAACACCATCAGTTAGTTTCCGCTTGTGCTCCCCGCCAATAGCTTACGTCTGTGCGGAAAGCTTATTGACTCTTTGAACCTGTTGCCACCACCTCCATCATTGCTGGTCCTGCACCATACTTCTGCTTTCGACAGGCTGGTCTCCACATCAATATTTTAGCGCAATTGTGTGCAACGTTGCTCTGCTCTTTGTGCATGGGGTACGGTTTGCTGTTTGCGGGAGAAAATAAGACGTTCTATGTGTCCACCCGCCCCGCACATGCATGAAGTATCAACAGCCACCGCCCACGTCCTACACCAAGCAACACCCCTCTCTGTAGACACTATTATTTACTGCTGTGTTGGCGTTCTGCGGCATATTAGGACAAGACACCTGCGGAAAATGGCCAATGCTTTGGCGGCAAACCGGCCGGAGAGCAGCGACGAATGCATCGCCTCCGTGCCGGCTCGCCGTGCCTTGCACCGGGCAGCCTCGGCAGCGACCTGCGGGCCCGAGTTGTTCCGCCCCAGACCCGGCAGCCTGTAGCACCTCGAAATAGTGGACACTACGCTCTGCCCGGTGGCTAGCGCTCTCGCCATGGTCTCCACGCTCTGCCAAGTCGACGAGCACAGGTCGAGGCTGTCCTCATCTTGACCCCCCGAGCTGAGCAGCCGGTCCACAACTCCGACGAGGTCATCGTCACCACCACCGAGCGTCGTCTCCCCGCAGTCGGTGGTGGTGGTTTGGTCGTCGGCGGCAGGACCGGTGGTGGTGGGACGTCGGTAACCAACGGCGTAGGAGCTGCCGCGATTGTTGCTGCTGTTGTCGTTGAAGCTCCGTGACTTGTGAGGTGTCGACCAGGGATTAGACGGGGTTGTCGCGGAGGCTGCGAGCAAAGCCGTCACCGTACGTCCTCTCTCTCGCGCGGTATCGGCGCTTCGAGCGCTCATGTTTGTGCGTGCTGCTTGCGTGCACGTGTATCGCTGTCTTTCCACTACAATAGATTACTTTAGTCTAAAAAACATACACAGCTAGCTGTTGTTCGCATATTGTTAGACTCGACCGTAGTACTGTGTCCTGCAGAGGGCCTCCGGCCGGACGAATTCCTGGGTGCATACATATGAATACGTGCCGCGAGACTGTTATCGAAATACTGCACGTGAATGTCCCTTGGCGGTTTCATGATCGATCGCTATTGCAGCAGCAACCGTATTTTCGTGAAAATTGTCGTTGGGTTTCTTTGCCAAAAAAGATCAAAAGACGTTTGTTCGTCGAAAACACTCAATTCGACGGCTGCAAGCAAATCGCCTGCTGAGACGTATCACACAGCACACACCTGCTCAATGTCAATAACAGCAGTAGCGGGGGAAACAAGCACGGTGTGGAGCAAGCGCGAAAAGGCAATTGTTCAACGGAGGAAAGCTACACGCCGTCGTATGCATAAATACCATGATTCATAATCCCTGGTCAGGCGTCAGCCACACACAAGCGCGGTCGATGCTAATAATAATAGCACACACACAAAAGCCATCCGCGAGAGGGTTGTTGGAAATTGCCTGCTGGCTCTCCAAGATTTTTTTTTTTTGGTCGTGGGTCGACCTTTTTTTGTTCTCGATCACGCACAGGACGACATCACACGGCCTCCTTGACTTTCTGCATCAAACCTACGCGATTGAACAGAGAACGAGGGCGAGAGAATTGGCGTACATTACGTGCGGAGAAGAGGGGTCGTGCCCAGACGTCCGTGTGTGGGTGGTGGTGAGGGGGGTACAGGGCGGAGAGGGAGGCAGCGGGGAAGAGGGAGTTGGGCAGGTTGCGGGGAGACATGCCGCAGGCTGGACGAGGACGAGGAGGAGGAGATGCGTTGTTTACACGAAAAAGCGGGATCGAAGCTATTGGGGTGAGAGTTTAGGACGGATGCTGCAGCGTTGTTTGATAGAGCAGTTCGCGCACAGAGCAAGCTGTCGCCTCACTCCCCGCAGAAGAGAATCGAATCATGTCGCAGCTTGTGAAAACGAAAAAAGGCAGTGGGACATCCGCCCCTTCTTTTTGTGCAGCCGAGACACGGATAGCTGACTGAACTGCTGGCTAAATGCACTTAAAATGTAGTCAAGCCGCAGCCGCCACTGCTGCCGCAGCTCCAGCCATCGGAACAAAATCGAGCTGGTAGATATCAGCGTAGAGCGATTGGCTGCACACACCCGACGCATGCTCAGCGTCGCTCAAGTAGATGGTGGTGAGTAAGAGAGTTGGATCAAGATCAGATGTTGGAAGGACATGAATTTTCGCTCATCCGTTGGCTTTTTTCAAATGTTTGGGCGAGCGGTAGACGACAGCAGTGATGCCATGCTGCTGCTGTTGTTGAGTCCCTGTCACCATTCTCCACCCACCAGCCCTGTGTGTCAACGACGCGAATGCTTCAACAAGTTTGTGCGGTTCGCGACCCTTTGAGGTGTTGCGACCTCACAAGCACACACTTGTACGTAGGTAAATCCGGCGTACCATTACGATGATGCATTTTAGCACAACCTCAACCACGTCTCTTTTCTCACACACGCACGGAGCCTACTACATTATTTCTACTCGCCTTGAACCGACAGCTGAGAGAACGCACACGCACGCGCACGTAGCAAACAAACCATGATCATCTGCCTGCCGCCCTTCCTCTTTTCTCACAAAGGCGAGAGTCATAGAACACCTCCCTCCGCTCTGTCGTACCCCACTCCTCTCAGCGGGATGGCATTTATATTTGACAATGTACCGACAGGAGCCATGGATCCATGGACTAATCTGTTTGCTGGTTGGGATGGTGCGCAGATTCGATATCATGAAACCAAAACAAACGGACGGAAAAATAACGCAAATAGTAATGGCTCCACAATTTTCGTCAAGAAATGGTGATCTTTCTTGACTCTTCTGAAGAAGTTAGCCTCATACGTGGTATGTAGATAGAGCATTAGAGATGTCTTTGGTTCTGCAAGAAGTACGAGTAGTGTCCAACAGCATACAAATACTCCATATCTTGCAGCTCCTTATTACTACAGCGACTGCTGTGTGCACATTGCAAACGCTGCATGAAGTCTTGCAGCTTGTGGATTTGACGACACAGCTCCTGCTACCATGTACAGTTAGCTACAATGTAGGTCGTGACTGTACAACACGAAACCGCAAAGAGACTCGCGTGTGCCCGTTCGCGACCAACGATATTTCTTGCCCGCCGACCCCGCCGACCGCCGACCCGTCGATTCTGCGGGCAATATCAGGACGTCATTGAAAGAAGAGCGCGCAGAGAGCGACTAGACTGCCGAAAAACGCGGAGGGGTACAGCAACAGAATAGATGCCCCACGCCCCCGGTGATCCTGCTGCGCGCTCGCACAGCGCACACCTTCGCATGCATGGTTGAAACACTCGCATGTCAGTCTCTGATTTGGTACAGGCGCATACATGGCGAAAAAGAAGTCGTATTTCGTGTACCCATCGTATGAATACACGCATACCATACCACCATTTTTTTGTGAAGACGGAGGACCTGCTTCAGATTTATCCGCGTTTGTAGTTGCCATCATCTGCTGTGTACAAAGTAGTGCTGTGCTGCATGTCTTCCTAACCCAAAAATAATGCAATTACGCACGCACCCAAGTTTTTAGCATACCCCCCCCCCCCCCC